TGTGTGTGTGTGTGTGTGTGTGTTTATACAGCCAGATATATAGGTTTATACAGCCAGAAGTAATGGGTTCTCTAGAGAAACAAAACCAGGACACACACACACATATATATATATATGTTTATACAGCCAGATATATAGGTTTATACAGCCAGAAGTAATATAACCAGGACACTTTATATATATAGCCAGATATATAGGTTTATACAGCCAGAAGTAATGGGTTCTCTAGAGAAACAAAACCAGGACACTTTTATATATATATAAAAGTTTATATATATAAAAGTATAAACATATATGTATGTATAAACATATATATATGTTTATACAGCCAGATATATAGGTTTATACAGCCAGAAGTAATATAACAGTGAATCAGTTCACACAGCAGTACAGAGGGTTCAGTTCAACTCACTTCCATGGAACAGTTAATATACTGGAAGCCCTTCACCTCATATGGGCTGCCAGGTCCAAAGTCAAGGAAGAAGACAGTGGAGTCCTCCCTTGGACAAGGTAAGCAGAATCTTCCCACAGGCAGCAAACAGCAGGGTGGATCACTAACAGTCAGTAGCTCAGGAACTTAGTTCAGCAGGCCCAGATGGTATATCGCATGCAAGCAATGCAAGGTAACAGAATCCACCAGCCTCAAGCTCAAATGATGTGTGCACCAGCAGCTTGGTGAAGCAAGTTTCGAAGGAGCCTCAAGCTTTAGTCATAGGATCTATGGGTTGGCTTGGTCCACAGGTAGTGTAGCTCACCGGTTGAGGCATAGAACTAGCTAAAGCAGCAGCATGCTCCAGCATGCTATGATCACCAGAGAACAAGAGAAAGGAAGGGCAGGCCTTGAAGAGCCATTTATCTCTTTGCCCTCCAACCAAGCTGTAACCTGATTAACCCCACATGTTCCTATTGGCCAGGTTGGCACAATAAACCCAACTATCATGTCCATCTTCCATTCTGCCATTGTGAGGTTCATGCTTATTAACCTCAAGAGGTTTAGTCCAGCCCACACTTTACTTCCCTTAAGGGACTGTATTAGTCTGGGTACTTTAGAGAAATAAAGCCACAGAAACTCATGTATAAGAGAGAGTTTTATATAAAGGCTAAGTGCACATCAAGAAAACATCCCAACCCAGTGCTGCCCAAGCCCACAAGTCCAACATTAACTCATATGTCCGACACCAATCCACAAAGTCCTCCTCCATCTCAGAAAACACACACTATGATGCTGACTGCAGGAGGACAGCCGAGTCAGTGAACGTGTAAGCATCTCAGCACTGGCAAGGGTCTCCACATGGCTGTTCCAGCAGCCAGGGCTGCATCTGGGTAGGTCCATGCGGCTTCTCTTTGGGAATGTCTTGCAGGAAGTGAGCCTTGCCAGTTGAAGCAGGGGACTGGCTAAGGCAGTGGCACCCTGGTCCGACCATCACAAAGCAAAGCAAGAGACCCAAGAACTAGAAAGGCAAGGCTCACCAAGCCATTTATACCTCAGCCCTTCAATTAACCCCACATGTGTTTATTGGCCAGGTTGGCACAATAAACTAACTACCTCGGGGACCTTTCTTCATTAGAATTGTAAACAAACTGAGCCGCTTGCTGTGACATTAAAAAGTTTAAATTTGTATCATTTTCTCTGCAAAAAAGGTGAGG